GCAGTGAGGCAGACTGGGAGCTCTGCTTGCTGGCGGCTCCTGCGGGGTCTGTGTGTCCAGAGCTGGCTGCGAGGCTGGCAGAGGAGCCCGGTCTGCACAGACAGCTTGGAGTGTGAAGGCAGCAGCTGAGCGACAGGTGCTTGGGCCCCTGCACCCATGTGGGAGACCTCCTTCCGCTGCTCCAATCCTGACCCTTGCGGCCGTTTAGGGAGGAGACCAGCAGGTGGAAAACCTCCCAGGACCTGTTGCAACTCTGAATTTCAAGTTATAAACAGCAGCAGAAGGGTGGCAGAAGGTACATGGATCCACATGGACAGGAGCTCCCAGGAGCCCTCAGCATGGCGAGGGCCTTGGCAGGGGCAGGGCCGCCCACACCAGCCCCTGGAAGGGCTTTCTCTCTCACCTCTCTAACCCTAACTCTGTCTTTCAAATACAAAAGGACAAATCTTAAGAAAGAAAGGTAAACGCAAGAGAGGCCGAGATCTGGTTTGCTCCCTAAATGGCCACGACAGGTTGAAGACGGGAGCGAGAAGTCTCCCTTGCTCTCACATGTGGCTGGCAGGCTCCAAGTGCCGTGGCCATCTTGCAGTGCTTCTCCTAGGCCAGGAGAATGGAGGAGACAGGACTTGAACTGACAGTCACGTGGGATGCCCGTGTCCCAGCACCAGCCCCTAAACCCTATTGCCCAGTGTCCTGCATGCCTCTTGCTTCCTGCCCTCACTGCCTGTGCCCTTGGTCTCTGTGGCAGCATTTGTTCTGGTGGGCATTGACTTCCAACAAGAGCCATCAACAGATGGTGGTGTGATGTATCCACTGGCGCTGCCTGCAAGTGCCAGCATCCCATGTAGATGTTGGTGCACACCCTGGCTGCTCTACTTCCCAGCCAGCTCCCTGCTGTTTCCCGAGAAAGCCATGGAGGATGGTCCAAGTACTTGGGACTTTGTAGCTGTGTGGGAGACCTGGAGGAAGCTCCTGGCTTCAGATCGGCCATTGTCATTTGGGGGAAATGAGCCAGTGGATGAAGATCTTTCTCTCTCTCTGTAAATCGGCCTTTCCAATAAAAGCACTTTTTTAAAAAAAGATTTATTTTTATTATTTTTTTATTGGAAAGGCGGATATACAGAGAGGAAGATCTTCTGTCCGATGATTCACTCCCCAAGTGAGTGCAACGGCCGATGCTATGCCGATCTGAAGCCAGGAGCCTCTTCCGGGTCTCCCATGCGGGTGCAGGATCCCAAAGCCTTGGGCCGTCCTCGACTGCTTTCCAGGGCCACAGGTGGGGAGCTGGATGGGAAGCGGGGCTGCCGGGATTAGAACCGGCGCCCACATGGGATCCCGGGCGTGCAAGGCGAGGACCTTAACCACTGCGCCACCGTGCTGGGCCCTAAAAGTACTTTTTAAAAAGAAAAAGCCTAGTGGTGAGCTGGCTGGGCAGGCCAAATCAACATTGAGCCCTAGCTCCCAGAACTTGGGGAGGACGTGGACCAAAACCCACAGGAGGACACCGCTGTGGGCAAAGTCCTGCGGGAAGCATTGCAGGGCTGCCCGAGTGCAGTGTAGCCGATAGGGAGTGTGCCTGAGGACCGGTGACTGCAGCTTCCCCAGGGCGCAGCCCTGAGCAGGCCCCGAAAGGGAGCTGGGAGCCCTGGGCCAGCCTCTCCGTGCCCTGGGCAGCGTTGCCTCTCTATGCCAGGGGAGCCACGCCTCTCCATGCCCATGGCAGCTTGGCCTCTCTGTGCCCGGGGAGCCATGCATCCACTTCGGGGAAGGCACACCTCCGTGGCTCTTTGCTGTCTGCCCCAAAAGCAGTGCCAGGTGCCTCACTTCTCCATTTGGCTGTGGCTTCCTTCTCCTGGAGTAAAACAGGAAGCAAGCGACCAGTGCTTCCTTATTTAGGACGCTGCTTTAGCAGGCCAGACTTGGAGGGAACCGCCTCGTTGTTGTTCAAGTGCAGCCTTCAATTATAAGTTTAAAATAAACCCAGTCCTCGTCCCCGGGCGTCGCTGGCGGCGGAGAGGGGAGGCCCGGGGGCCTCCCAGCTTGGGCACAGTGTCCAGCAGGCCAGCCAGCCTGGGGCGGTGCCCAGCTCGGGCCCAGCAGCTTCTGTGCTGGGAGTGCGGCCCCAGTGCCGCACGGGAGAAGGCTTGCTGCTTTTGGAGAGGCAGACTCTCGGAAAGCACTGAATCTCCCTGTCTGCTCTGTCCCCTCCCCCCGACGCCCCACCCTGACCCCGCAGGCGGAGCTGAGCTGATCTAAGTCAGGAGCCCCGGGTGTCTTCTGGGTCTCCCACAAGGGTGCAGCATCCCAAGGTTTTGAGCCATCCTCGATTGCTTTCCCAGGCCACAGGTGTGGAGCTGGAAGCAGCGCCCCCCCACCCGGCAGTGGTCACGTTGTTGGCTCAGCCCACGCTCTGGGCCCTGTGGAAGCGAGACGCTGAGCTGGGCATTGCAGAGCTGCGCCCTTCCCCCTGCCCCACACCCGACGGAGGTAGAGGCGCAGGGCTGGCAGGCCTGGCAGGGCCCTCTCCTGGGGGGAGGGTGTTATCAAGGTTACCACGGGCTCCCTGGGGCTGGTGGTCTCCCACAAGCCCTGCCTCTGGCGAGTGCCACCAGATACCAGGGTAGGACCAAGGGTGCCCTCCCACCCCACAGGGCATTTAGCACAGCGGTGTGCAGCAGCAGCCCTACTCCTTGTCCTGGGCCTTCAGGAAGGAGGCCCTGCGGTTTAGCACCCAGGGCCGCCCCGGCCTACAGAGGCAAGAGTGGAATGGGCTTAGCAGCAGCTGCGGGGGCAGCCTGGGAGTGTCCAATACAGCCAGGGGCCGGCACTGTGGCATAGCTGTTCAAGCGGCACCCACAGCATGGCGTCTCAAATGGGCATTGCTGCATGTCCTGGCTCCCTGCTGGTGTGCCTGGGGGTTGGCAGGAGGCGGCCTGTGAAGGACCTCGGAGTCCAGCACGGAGCTGCTGCCTGCTGGCTTGGCCCTGGGCCATGAGGCCATCCAGGGAACGAACCCGCGGATGGAAGAGCTTTTTCTACTTGTAACTCTGCCTTTTAAATCTTTTTTTTTGTTTTGTTTTTAAAGACTCATAAGTATTACACACACATAAGCATTTGTCATCTTAGCTTCAGCTTGGTGGCAAGACCTTAATTATTCTTTAAAACTACTTCTGGGCCCTGGTGCTGTGGCCTAGCAGCTAAAATCCTTGCCTTGCACGTTCTGGGATCCCATATGGGCACTGATTCGAATCCCGGCGGCTCTGCTTCCCATCCAGCTCCCTGCCTGTGGCCTGGGAAAGCAGTTGAGGACGGCCCAAAGCCTTGGGACCCCGCACCTGCATGGTGACCCGGAATAGGCTCTAGGCTCCTGGCTTCGGATTGGCTCAACTCCACTGGGGAGTAAACCAGCAGATGGAAGAGCTTTCTCTCTCTCTCTCTCCTTCTCTCTGTGAATCTTCCTTTCCAATAAAAACAAGTAACTCTTCAGTCCCCACCCCCATTTCTGGTACAGGCTGGCCCCCCAGGTCCCATGCCGGAGCTGGTTGGGGTCTCACTTCCGATCGCGATCGTCTTTCTGCTTGTGCACCTGCCAGCAGCAGGTGACACACAGTTTTTTTGTTTTTTAAATTTTAAAAACAAGTTCGGGGGGCGGTGCCGTGAGGCACTGGGACAGGTCTGTACCTGCAGCGCCAGCTTCTGACGGGGTGCCAGTGTGAGTACCAGCTGTTCTGTTTCTGATTCAGCTCCCTGCCTGTGGCCTGGGCCCGCGGTGAAAGACGGCTCAAGTCCTTGGGCCCCTGCACCCTGTGCGGTCCTGGGAGAAGCACCAGGCTTCCGGCTTCACATCAGCTCAGCTCTGGCCGTGACGCCATTTGGGAAATGGAAATTCCCTGTGTCTCTCTCTCTAAAATCTGGCCTTTAAGATAGACAAATCAGAAAGAGAGAGAGAGAGAGAGAAAGAAAGAAAAGGAAAAAGAAAGAAAAAGAAAGAAAGAAAGGCTCAAGGGGTCGGTGTTTGGCACAGCAGTGAAACAGTGGTACACCAGCTGCTGTGGGTGCCAGCCCTATCTGCCTGCCAGCGCACCGGGTGGGCAGCACATGGCTCATGCGCTCAGGTGCCCGTTGGCCAGCTGGGAGCCCTGTGTGAGCTTCCTGCCTGGCCCAGCCCGGCTGTGCTTCTCTGGAGTGAGCCAGTGGATGGGCCATCTGTCTCTGTCTTGCTGTGCCTGCAGTGTTGGCTGGCCACGCCTCGGGCAGCGAGGACCATCTCAGCCAGACACCACAGAAGAGGGGGCGCTTGCGTCCAGAGCCCCGGCCTCACCTCCGCAGGCGGCAGTGCTGGTGGCTCGTGGCTGCACCGAGGTCCCTCCCATCGCCTAGCATGCCACAGCGGTGCAGCCACCGCACGCCAGGCCCTGCGGACAGACTTCCCGTGTGGGATGTAAGTCCCAATGGTGGCAGATGACAGCACACAGATGAGGAAGAAATGCTGTGTGACCCATGGAGGCGACAGGTAAGTCAGCAGAGCGGGGCTGGGACCAGGAAGGCTGTGAGCAGGTGTGTGGGCAGGGATGTGTGCGCAGGGCCAGCGAGAGCAGGGGGTTGAGCAAGGGCTGGGACGGGCACACGAGGGCCTGGAGGGACGAGGGGATGCGGAGGCCACTGAAGGTCACGGTGACACAGGCCAAAGGAGGGCCTTGCACCTTCTGACCCCCCAGTGTGGGTTCTGACCTGCACTCTCCGTGCCCACACTCGCTGCATCCGACAGTGGGCCATCACAGATGACCAGGCCAGGCCCGGGCGCTCGTTGCAGGGGGAGCCCAGTGCAGCCTGCGGCTCCAGGGCAGGCTTGGGCTGCAGCCCCGGCAACGGTCGTGGTCTGCCAGGACAACCCTGACCAGCGCAGCCATGCACGTCCTGAGGGGCAGGGACCCAAGGAGCTCGGACCCTCACATCCCACCCACGTGGCCATGGGCTGGGGACAAGACGACGGCGAACTGTGCATTTTTAAAATGACATTTATTGCTCAGATGGGTTCATACAGAACAGCTTTCTTTTCATTTTGAATCTTGAAGTTTCTATACAACTGAATACAAAGAGGAACAAAAAGTACCAAAACCGAACTGGGGATTCTGTTCATGTGGCATAAACCAGTTTTGTACATAATATGTAGCAGCAGTTCTTAATTTCCCTTTAGAAAAATATGAATTCTACATTTATTGTTTCCTGTTTAATGCACGGGCTGAAATCATATAGGATCAACTTCTTTCTTGGAGAGAGAGGACAGCAAGGAGACACATGCGTGACGCCTGCGAGGCGGCCCCGTGGCCGGCGTGGCCTGCGTGGCTGCCGTGGCCGGCGTGGCCGCCCGCCCCAGGGCCCCGCTTGGCCCGGCTGCCACAGCCAGGCGCTTCGTGTAGTGATTAACTCGGCTCTGTGTCCACTCACTGAAGAAAACAAAAGAGAAAAAACTTGCACCTCAAAAACTTTTCAGAAGATCCACATATATATATCTTATATATATATATATATATATAATTTTTAAAAGCCCTGAGAGGAGAGAGAGAATCAAACAAAATGTATAGAAAACAAGCAGAACAAGCTATGATTCACCCAGAGTTTTTTTTTTTTAAACAAATCACAAATTTCACAGTTTAATATTGGGGGAGGGGACAGGAACAACACACAAATAATCCATCTCTCCACCTTGCTGAGAACGTGGCAAGAGCTCCCTGGCTGCGACGGCGGGCGCCGGGCAGAGCTGACTCGTGGGCGGGCGGCCACCCCGCGGGGCTGCGCCCAGACAGGGCGAGGAACCCCAAAGATGACAAATTAACAACTGTAGTAATAATAATTAAAAAAAGAACAAACCCATACGGCAAGTAGGAACTGCTCTGAGCAAAACAGACCGGGGGATTGCTGCTTGCGACTGGCACCAGATGCCCCGGGCAGCCAGCGGAGCCCCTTGCCGACACTGCTTCGTACGACCCCGTCACAGGACTTGAGCTGGTTGTTCACGGCCGAGATGCTCTTTGCACCTTCCTCAGAGTCAGGGTGCTCGGCTCCCAGCCCCCCGACAGGCAAGCAGGGAAGGTGGCGCTGCCCTGTGCTACAGTAGGATGTCCCACCTCGCCTGCAGGGGCAGCTGGGGGAGGGCTGGGTCGGGGTTCTGGAAAGGAGGCAGGGCCCGGGGCGGGGCGGGGTGCTCTGGGAGCCTGGCGTGCCTCCTGGCAGCTCGCCCCTCGCACGCACGCACCGCTCCATCAGCAGTAGTAGTGAATGGGCGCCTTGCCCCTGGGCAGCCCGGGGCCCCTGGCTCAGGAGCGCCCGGCCCACCGCCTGGCTGGCTGGCCGGGACTGGCACCTGCAGTCAGGGACGGAAGGCTTGTGAGTACAGTAGAGCTGCCGCCACCCGAGCTGTGGGCAGCGGCTGCAGGCACGCAGGATGGGGACCTGGGGGCAGCGCAGGTCTCCCAGGACAAATATTGCCCACTTGTTTCTGCTGACTGCAGAGACCAGCAAACTGACGAACTAATAATAATAATAATAATATTATAATAATAATAATACATACATACACCAACGGGAGAGGGAGGGGGGAGGGAGGGAAGCCACACCCGGGACGGGCTGGCCCGACCTCCCGGTGCTGGTGGCTGGAAGGCGGCCCTCAGGAACAACTGGCACCGGCAAGGAAAGCTTGAGATCCCTTTGCCCGCTCAGGGCGAGGGGCCGCGCTGGGCTGCAGCTGCACCTGCCCAGGGCAGCCCACAGAAGGGCCCAGAGCGGCTCCTCCGCCTTCCTCTGGGCACTCGTGTGGTTGTCTTCCAGTTATGGGATCCGGGTATCCGTGGGTGCCAGCTCCCGGCACGCGGGGAGGGAGGGACGCTCAGAGACCCACCAGGAAAGAACAGACTTGCTCACACCGATCCGAAGGGTCACGTTAATGCTTAAAGGAAATCTCCAGACAGTTCATTACAATGCTGGGTTTGCTTTGTTCAAAAGTCGGTTTGGGGGAACACAACGCCCGCGCGAACGGCGGGCCCCTAAGTAGCTAAGGCACTGGGAAGGCTATGGCACGGCGCCTGGCGGCCGAGGGCACCCAGACCAGGCCCAGGGCGCTTTGCTCTGCTGGCTTGTGCGGGGGTCGGGGGGGCGCGCGGCGGTCACTCGGCGCCCAGCACGGGCTGGGCCGGCCTCCTGCCGCGCGGCTCCTGTAACTCCTGCGCCGGAGGCTCGGGGCTCTGGGGGCTGGGCTCCCCCGGGGATGCCCCCTGCTCCTTGGCGGGCGCCCGGCCCGCGGCCTTGTCCTCCCTGCGGGCGCAGTCCTTCCGGCTGCGGGTGACGGCCGCGTGGTTGCTGGCGGGGGCCGGCTCGGCCTCGTTCTCGGAGACGGGGTTGGTGCCGCTGTGGCTGGAGCCGTCCTCGCTGTCCTCCTCCCTGTCGCTGTCCCTGGCCTGGTGCTTGGCGTGCCGGGCTTTTTGGTGGATCCGCTGGTGCCGAACGAGGCTGTGCTTCAAGGTGAAGGTTCGCTCGCACGTCTGACACTTGTACGGCCGCTCGCCTGGGCAAAGGGAGACAGGCACGTGTGCGCGTCGCCCTCCCTCCTAAAGGCCCCGGAAGCCATGACCACCGCGCCGCACCTGCCTCCTTGGTGCCCGCTGCCCAACTGGCAGGCTGGGGCCCACTCCTCCTGTGTCATGCCCCGTCGCCCTGGGAGCTCTCCATGCAGCCTGGACCAGCGTGTCTGGGGGCTCCAGAACAGCCCAGGGGTCCCTCGCTGTGGGAACAGCAGCGCCTGAGCCGCTGGCCGAGGGTCCCATGGGCCCCTGCTGCTGTTTCTGCTCCAGCCAGTGGCATCGCCCGCAGCCAAGGGCCGCGCACAATACCAGCGTGCAGGAGAGGGAGTGTGGCCGACGAGTGTGTGCAGCCTGGGCTGTGTGTGCACCTGTGGGGGTGTGTGTGTGTGCGCACAGGGGGCGGGCGTGGGGAGGCACTCGCTGAGCCGAGGCAGAGGCTGCCCGAGCTTTCTGGAAGAGGACGACGTGTTGCTCACACAGCGCTGCTTGGGCGCTTCAATGCCCATGGTGGGCAGAGCTCTCCCGAGTGGGACGTGCCTGCTTGGCAGGTGGGGCAGACGAGCTGTGCCCCGGCCCAGCCCTCCCGGCCGTGGGCGCCCGTGTACTTACCGGTGTGGGAGCGCATGTGGCGGGTGAGGTCCTGCAGCGACCAGAAGCGCTTGTTGCACACGCTGCACACCTTCTTCCGCTTGTCCGCCTTGCTGGCCGCGCTCTTGGGCGAGTCCGTCTTTGGGCTCTTCTCCGGGGGTTTCTGCTCGGCCGCTGCCTCCCCGTCGGAAGGGCCCTCGGTCTCCTCGCTCTGCTTCTCGGCCTCCCCCATGCCCGGGGCCGGCTCGGCGGAGGCGGGGGTCTCGCTGGCAGCGGGCTTCTCGTCCAGCTCCGGGGTGGCGGGCGACTCTTCCCCGTCCGGGCCCGGGGCGTCCCTCTCGTCCCGGTGCGCCTTGCGATGGCGGCTCAGGGTGCCCAGGAACTTGAAGCTTTTGCCGCAGGTGTCGCACGCGTACTTGTGGTCGTGCGGGGCGCAGCCCGCAGCGCCCGCCTCGCCCTCGGCCAGCTTGAAGTCCATCAGCTTGCTGGCCAGGTCCAGGTCCAGGCTCTTGTTGCTGACCGTGTCTTCCTCGGGGCCCTCGGCCTCCCCAGCGCTCTCCTCCGGGCCTCGCTCATCCTCCGGGCGCTCCTCGGTCCCCGGGCAGGTGGGGTCTGCCTGTGGGGCATCTGGGGTCGCGGGCTCGGGATCCGCGGCTTCCTCCGATGGCGGTGGCTGCGGCGGTGGCGGCTGCCTGTCCCGGGAGGTGAGGTCCAACACCTCGCCTGCTGGGGCCGGCGTCTCCACGTCGGACTGGCTGTCTGTGTGGGCAAGCACAGCGGGCAGTGGGTTCAGACGGGCCCGTCCGCAGTATGAACTCCACGCCCAGGCCCTCCCGCCCCGGGTTCCCACAGCCATGGGCTGAACCAGCACCGCATGCCCGCTGGAGAATCTGAAAGGTTCCATGGCCCGCCCCTCAGGAGGAGGTGTGAGTGGCAGCAGACACAGGGGTTGGAGACAGGGGAGGTTGAGGAAGCCAAGTGAGGTGTCCAGGGCAGGGGTGATTCGGACATGCAGCCCACACAGGCCCGCCCTCCTGGAGTCCAGCTCATGTCCAGGTAAGGTGGGAGGCAGACACATGCAGCCGGCACAGGCGCACAGAGGGGTCTGAGCCGAGGAGCAGGCGAGCGTGCAGACCGGGGGCCTGGGTTATCCATTCCCGCAGACCCTGCCTGTTGGCCAGCCACCATCTGGGCCCCGGCAGCACGAGGTGCGGGAAGCCCACCAGCTTCTCGGGGCTCCAAGGGGTGGCTGGTGGCAGCACCACCAAGTCCCCTTGCAAAGGGGTCGGAGGACCTCACGCTGCCAGCTGGGAGCTCTGTGCCCACAGACCCAGCTCTGTGGAGTCTGCACCCTATGGAGGCCCATGGAGGCCGCTCCCCAGGGCCACATGGTCAGGATGGTGTGGGAGACTCCCCTGGCAACAGAGCCTTGCTCAGCTCTTCCGATGGTTTCCTGGGCGATTCCCTCAAAAACATTTACTCTTTGGTTATTACTTTCTCATTGTCAACTTATCCTGGGCTCTGTGTAAGAACATGGGGTATTTTAACGCAGAACCTATCTAAATCAAAAATGAGTTCTGAAGCCAAGTGCACAGAAATCCTGAGATGCAGCCATTCCCTTAAGAGGCGGGCAGTGCCAAGCTAAGCTGTGCCCAGGGGAAGGCCAGCTCTGGACACAGTGCCCGTGGGTGTGCTCCACCAGACACCCACTAGGAGGTGTGCTCCAGCAGGACAGCCCCGCCCTCCCGCCCCAATGCGCTTCTGCTATTAAACAGCAGCGGGCGAGGCCAGCTCCTAAAGGCAGGGAGCCCAGTGGGCAGCGTTACAGGCAACCCTACTTACCACAGGGCAGTTACTGAGGTGTCCCACTGCTCCTTACTCCCTGGGCAGCTACAGTTGTCAGGACTGGACCAGACCAGTCCATCCGGGCCTTGCAAGGCAGCAGCCCAACTCAGCAGAGGAAGCCTGGCGGCTGATAAACCCGCCGCCTATCCTACCCGGCGATGCCCCCGTCGGCTTGGCAGCACAAAGTGGCTGCTTCCTGGCGATGCCGTGTCACCATCCGATGCGATGACCAACCTGAGGCAGTGAGCTGACGGGCAGGGCGGCTGCGCCCAAGAGGCTGCTCCTGACACACTCAGGTTTAGAAAACATCCATGTATCTTAGCTAACGGTCCCATGTAGGGCCAGTGGTCCTGGCTGCGCTGCTTCCAACCCGTCGCCCTGCAGTGAAGGCAGCAGGTGAGCCAGGTGCCCACGTGGGAGACTGGCTCAGCTCTAACCATTGTGGCCACTGGGGCCTGAGCCGGTGGGAGGAAGATCTACATCTCCTTTCTCTGGTATGACTCTGCCTTTCACATAAATTACGTCTTTAAAATGTCTCAGTATTCATTAAGCTGTCCACGGGAGCAGTTCTTTGGGGAAGGGAGAACTTGGGTGCACTTCCACAGATGCCCTCATGTCACTGCTTGGGAGGCACACATTTCATACTGAGTGCTTCCAGCGTGCTGCTAACAACCATCTTCGGAGGGACAGGTGAAGGACTCCTGGGGGAGCGAGCCCCTGGCCCAGCTGGTGGCTGTTGGCATCCCGGGGAGCGAGCCCCTGGCTGTGGGCATCCCGGGGGCGTGAGCCCTGGCTGTGGGCATCCCGGGGGAGCGAGCCCTGGCCCAGCTGGTGGCTGTGGGCATCCTGGGGAGCGAGCCCCTGGCTGTGGGCATCCCGGGGGTGTGAGCCCTGGCTGTGGGATCCCGGGGGAGCGAGCCCCTGGCCCAGCTGGTGGCTGTGGGCATCCCAGGGAGCGAGCCCCTGGCTGTGGGCATCCTGGGGGAGCGAGCCCCTGGCTGTGGGCATCCCAGGGGTGTGAGTCCTGGCTGTGGGCATGGTGGGGGAGCGAGCCCCTGGCTGTGGGCATCTCTGAAGCATGTCAGTGGGCAGAAGCATTCCAAGTTCCTGGTTCCCTGCCTTTTCAATGAGAATAAACTAACAGAAAATGCACTTTAAGTGCATGAATCTAGAGACCATACAAGAACATCCCTTGTCATTTACTGCTCTTTCCCCGCCTTGAAAGGGTCTCCCTCATGTGGCATCTCCCCTTTTCTGCCCCCTCCCCCAGATATAGAAAGGAAAAAAAGGGAATGTGGAAATGGATCTCACCCACCTCCTTTAGACCTCCACCCTAATCAACTAGGTACAAATATCAAAAATAAAAATTAAAAAAAAGAAATCCAAACCCTCCCTTCTGACTCAGGCGAGGCTGCCCAGCTCCGAGGGCTCCCGGCCTGCTGCCCTGCCCTGCTCTCGTACCCTGGGGCTGCCCTCTGTTCTCACTGTGCCCACAGCCAAGCCACCCTGGTTGGGTCCATGTTTACTTCCAGTGACCCCCAGAGGCTTTGTCCCTTTCCAGAAAACATGCACAGCTCTGGGGCAGGCTGAGGTAGGAATGCTTTGATGGGATTGGGAAGAAAAGCCCAGACAACTACAAAATGAACAATGGACCACATGGCAGGCCAACGCTCGCTGTAGACTCCCAGGTTAGGTACCCCATCATGACTCCACACGTCACTAAGGCACCCCAAGCCACCAGCTGCTTTCCCTCCCGCAGCCCGCTCCAGCCAAGGTCCCACTGCACTAAGCAGTATAATTAAACATGGACGCTGGCCAGCAGGACGCTGCTGGCTCATGGACCCCAAGTCACAGTAAGACCCCACGGGCGGTCATGACCATACCAGCCTGGCTCACGGGAGCTGGGGGAAGGAGCCAGCAGAGAGGCCTGCATGGGCATACCCACGGGGAGTTTAAGGGCAGACAGCGGGGGTTAGCTCCCCCTCCTGTGCCACCCCTTCAGACAAGCATGGCTGTTCCCTGTGACTTGGCTAAGGACAAGGGGACTGACTGCAAGGACAAGGGGGTAAGGGGTAGGAAGGCCCCTCCCACTGTCCACTCCCCTGCATCCCTGTGTAGCTCCAAGAGAAGCACTGAACAGTCACAACCCTGGAAAAGCACAGGAGGCTGGAGAGGGTGGGCCAGGGCTCTCTGCTCAGCTCTGAGTTACAGGGAAATGCCAGGATTTCAAAACCTGCAAAGAACATCCCGCCCCTGCAGTGCAGTCCCTAATAGGGCATCCTGCACCTGCAGTGCAGTCCCCCTGCTCCCACAAACAGGGCATCCCGCACCTGCAGTGCTGTCCCTGACCCCAACATCTACAGCAGCCCATTTCTGGTTCCATTTTGGGACTGGTGGTGGCAGATGGGGGTAGCGGGAGGTCAGAGAAGGAAGGGGTGGCAGCTGTTAATGGCGCTGTGGGGACCTGGGGCAGAAGCGGGGTCAGTGCAGGAGGGACGCAGGTCAGAGTGGTGAGTACGGCATGCAGGGAGTGCCTTCCAACAGGGACGGTCCCCCAGCGCGCTGGCCACCTCTGCCACAGCTCCCGGTGCCTCGGGCTGCCAGTGGAGCGCCCTCCCATGCAGCCCGCCTCCCCGCCCACTGCGCTTCCTCCTGGCTGTCCGGCTAGGCTCAAGGGGCGGCCTGTGCGCCCCCTGCTCGGGGCTCTTCATCGGCCAAGGCACTACCTGTGCTATCACGGGCGCCACCATCACTCTCTCTGGACTGGGGAGTAAGCCCGTTTCTTCTCAGGGAGCAGGTGGTAACTCCGTGTTTGCGCAACTGGTGGCGTTCACAGTTAGATTTGGTAGAAAAGAAGGCATCGCATTTTTGACAGGGGAAGGGTTTCTGACCTGAAGCAGGAGAAAAAATATATATATTTATCTGGCTTCCTATTGCACGAGGAAGCAAAGTTGCTCTTGCTTTACTCCCCTGAGACTGCTGACATTCACGCCTCCCCCACCCCAGCCCTGTACATTAACACTGGACACACACACGCACACACACAGCAAAACCCAGCAATAAGCCATGATTTCTTCTCCCCTCGAGTGCAACTTTAAAATACTCAAGAACTGCTGGAGTGGAGGCCACGCACTGACAAGGGAATGATGGCAGCTCAGCAGAGCGTGTCCGCAGGCCGTGTCCATCTGCTCCCAGGACGTCACCTTCAATAACCCCTCCCTGGCAAGGGACACGGAGGCCAGGCACCGTGCAGTCGCCCGCACGAGGACGCAGACACAGGATCCCCAGACTGACTCATCCCCTGGCTATCCTCCGGGGCCTGTTCGAGGCCACCGCACCTCTGGCTGAGCAGGTGCCCAGGGCCTTCCCCCAGGGCACTGGAGCTCGCCATTCTGACTGCCCCAGCTGCCTGCGGTGACCTTTGCCCAAGGTTGCTGGCATCCTGGCTGGCAGGAGACAGGCGGTCTCCTGCCGTCAAAGGGTCCTTGTTCCCTTGGCTCTCAGCTCTGACTCGGTGTCTAAATAAGCGAGCAACATGTCACTGGGGTGGCAAAAGGATGTGCACACGACTCCATAGCTGTGCATGGGGAGAGAAAATGCTGGCAGCGGCCATCCCGGCTGGTCCTCCCCTTTCCTGCGCTGCCCAGCTCCACGCGTGGGCTGCCAGCTTGCGAGTTTGCTGCTTTGATCTGCCCAACACTGCAGGACGCAGGGGCAGCTCCGGGGCGGGTGGAGGCCACCTGGAGCACAGAGTGGGACAGGGAGGGTACAGGCGGAAGGGAGGTGGCGTGGGGAGGGCACGGAGGGCAGAGAGGTGGGTGTTGCATCTGCCGCTGGTTTCCCTTCTCCACTCCCAGCTCTGCATTATGGGGCTCGAGGCAACGAAGGCAGCCACACAGCCAGAGCCCAGGCTT